TCTCTCTCTCTCTCTCACACACACACACACACACACACACACACACACACACACACACACACAGGCGCTTCATCCTCGTGATCACCTTGCCATCAGTGTCCTCGCACCTTCGGTGCCTGCTTCCTCCTCCTTGTCCTCCTTCAAACGACTCCCTCGGTGCCTGCTGCTCCTCCTCCTCCTCCTCCTCCTCCTCCTCCGTTTCGTCCTGTTCGCACTTCATTCATCAGTAGTCGTCTCCTTGGTGATGTTGTATGGGATAGCAGGTTCATCGCGGGGAGGTCGGAGGTGGGGTGGGTGTGTCTGTGTGTGTGTGTGTGTGTGTGTGTGTGTGAGAGAGAGAGAGAGAGAGAGAGAGAGAGAGAGAGAGAGAGAGAGAGAGAGAGTTGACTGGATACCTACCTGCTGATTATTCTAACAGCGAGCGGGAGTGCATTTCTCCCACTTCTATCTCAAGAGGCTAGGAACCGCGGGGGCAGGAGCGGTGCTCGCCGGTGTCCGTTTAGCAGGCTAGCAATTGCGTCCACGTTGTGCCCAGTGCACGGAAGGTTGTGTGACTCGTGTCCTTCTGTTTTGGAAAATAGAACAGGCCACGAGGACGAAGCGGAACAGCAACTGCACACTGCTTTGCGCTAATAAGGGGCCAAACCCAAAATGTCGGTTGATCGTGTACACTGCACATAAACGATACAGAAAAACTCAGCGTGCCCCTGCGCATTCTTTTTTTTTTTTTTTTTCGTGCGCATTCGAGGATGACACGGACATCCAGCGGCCTAACTCAGTTGGTAAGGCTCGCAAGTGGCCTTCAGGAGGTCGTGGGTTCAATATCCCAATTGGCCTCACGTACGTGCCTGGGCAAGCTTGGTGTTCTATTGGCCCAAGCCAGCATTGGCAGGACCTCGGTTGATGTTGTTGGTTGCCAGCTACAATATTGGCCATTAGACACCCCCATGTGGGGTTTTTGGGGGGGTAGGGGGAGGTGCAGTGACTGGCCATTGCTCGGCGCTAGCAGCCCATTTCCCCCATGGGCAATGCCTGCCCACCCCTCGTCACCTTGATGAGGGACTGGTACAGCCTTGCTCTCGCACCACTGCTGTGGTGCCAACCTACCCCTTGGGCTGGGAGAGATCCGGGTTGGTTGGTGTTCCCCCGTACTACACATGCACTAGTGAGAGGATGAGATAGATGAGTACTAGCAAGAAAAATGAGATAGATGAGAGAAGAATATAGCTTTTAAAAAAAAAAAAGAAGGGGCAGGACAGGTTCATTACGAATTTAGGGGTAGAGGAAACATCAGAAATACGATTTGCAAAGGACTGGTCACTGTGTGGGATTCCACCAGTACGAATTTAGGGGTAGAGGAAACAGCAGAAATACGAATTTTGGGCCATGGACTGATGACTGGTCAATGTATGGATCCCACCAGTTCAGAATGGTTCATATACTGAAGGGTGGGGTTACGTAGCTCTGGTTTGCAGAGGAGTTCTCCTACAGGAAATATGGAGGGCAAGGAACACTGTAATTTTTTAGAGTACTAAAATTCCCGTACAAGAACAGCAAAGCCAAGTTAAAAGGAATATCAGAACTTCAGAAGCATGATTTTGACCGACTGGCAAACGGGGCCCAGGAGGAAAACGAAAGGAGTTAACCTGGATTCTGAAGACGTGGGCTAAAGACAAACAGCTGGCTACTGTGACATTGGACAAAAAGCTGGTGCTCTCTCGGTGGTGGCTAAAGGCTCCTGGAGTATGGATTTTATCTTGAGGCCTATTTAGGCTTCTTTGGAACTTTTTCTTTTTCTTTTTCTTTTTTTCTTTTTTTTGTTTTTGTTTTGGAACTGGTGTAGTAACGAAAATGCTTTCGTTATGAGGTCCCCCGAATGCCTTTTAGGCGAGACTCAGTTGGTTTGACAAGGCCCAGTTAGACAAGTATGAATAGGTAGATTTTGAGATTGGCATATCTTTCTCCTCGGTCACCCTTTTTTTCTGAGCTTCAAGTTTGGTTTTTTGAGAAGTCGTAATTCTGTTGAGAGTTAAGTGGTCTTGGGACGCTGGACCCGGTTTCCAGCATGGTGCCTTCGTGACTGGGGGTTGAATTGTGAGGTCCCCGGCCTCGACCAGAGTTTTTGGAATATAAAGAGAACTTCTCAAAAAAAAAAAAAATCTTGGGTAGAGAAAACAGGAGAAAGACACCAACAAGAAGAGGCAAACATGCAATTACCTCCCTCCACCGAGAGAGGTACCCTCCCTTCACCAAGGGAGGTAGATAGCTATGTTTGCAGGGGTCCCCTGTATAGCCTCAGGAGTAGTGGTAGGTAGGTTGTGAAAGATGAAAGAATTTGAGAGAAGAATATAGTGTAGAAACAAAGTTGTGAAAGATGAAAGATTTTGAGAGAAGAATATAGTGTAGAAACAAAGTCAGACCGCCGGCAGGCCGGGCGCAGTGTGAGTATGTCCCAGAGGGTCTCAGTGTCAGTTTATCGTAAGGATAGTCGGAGTGTGAGTGTGGTGATTGTGCCCTAAGTTGCCCAAAGTCCCAGTGTGAGTATGTCCCAAGAGGTCCCAGAAGTCAATATGGCCGTAACTGCGGACAGATACATTGAAAAGAAATCCCGGTGTGGGTATGGCCTAAGGAACTGTCAGATGCAAATGTCGCCGTGGAGAGAGAGAGAGAGAGAGAGAGAGAGAGAGAGAGAGAG